CTGGTTTGGGCTGGTCTTCCCTACGGCTGTAGATCTTCTGGCCGCGCTTACCGTCGTAGACGGTCACTGTGCCGCTGGGATACCGTCCGCCGTCAACATGCACGGACAACACCTCCAACAGACGCTCCCCGTAGGCCTCGTCGTCGGACCAGTCCGTGCACCTCCTCTCAGGTCTTGCTATCAGCACTTGTTCCCCCATGTATTCATGGTTGAGCGCAAATAGCCAAAGAATGGAGGTGTGAAGAATGATGCTAGCTTCTGAATTACAACCCGGGGAGTAAGGGTCAATAATTCATATACTACTCTCGAAATATTATTCTGTTGGCCAAGTTGAACCTGCTAGCGTACACTTGAAAGCTTTGAAATATACATTATGTCAAAGTCTGCATCTATGTCATCTAAGTCCTTGTAGAGCCAAAGTTCGATATGATATGATAATGTCAAATGGTAACCCCAAACTTTGCTTGGTCCGCCACCGCCCAAGCTGTGTCGTGCGTTCGCCATCCTTAATTAATTTGTTCTTGTCACTGTTGCCCGCGTCCAATTAATTGAAGATGGGAGTTATTGCGTTTGAATGTTTCTTTGCAACCTCTTTAAGCAACCAGCCAGCCAATAAGATGGAAGATGGGAGTTATGGCGTTTGAATGTTTCATTGCAACCTCTTGTTGTTCCCTTCCGGCGAACGCCTCCTTCATTTGGCGGTTGCTGGCGAGGAAGAGTAGAACAAGGCAGAAGGACCGGCCCATTTGGTACTCATGCCCCCGCCGCCTCCCATGCCCTACTCATCCTCATCGGAGTCTTCGACCTGTCCGTCGCCAGTGGATGTGAGGTCCATGATGGAGGTGGAGGGACCAGCACGATCGTCCTCCTACCGGCGCGGCCAAACAGTGTTCGGTGGTGCGTAGGACACGCAGCTACCGGCGTTCTCTTCTGTGATTACCTGCCCAACCTTCGTGTGCGGTGCCGCTTGTACGTTGTGAACGGCGGCTTGAGTGCAGGCAGCCTCGTAGAGCGCCTGCTGCTCGGTGACAAAGTTGGGGTTTGTAGCGACCACGATCTCCTTGCTCGTGCGCTCGCCGTAGATCTGGCCCTCCGTCAGCCGGTGCTGCTCGGGTATGAACAGGTTATAGCGTTGTTCCTCCTAAGCCTGCCCAACATAGGTGCGGGCACCGACTGCTCCTTGGCCATGGCGGCATTGAAGTACGCTTGTTCCTACTCCATTGTCAAGCCCGCATGCACTAGCATGGAGTCGTCGTCGGAGAATGTCTCCATCGTGGGGTCGCTGTCGGAGACCTCCGAAGAGCTAGCTGGCCGGCATGCCAGTCTCTATCTGCCTAGCATGGCGGCTCTACAAGGTGGCCGTAAGCGATGCTACCTCGTGCTTCTTCTCCGTCGAGAGGCAATCCCACAGAGCATTCCCGCTCGCGGTCATGGCGGATGTGGTGCACGAGAGGAAGGCCTGGAGCGTTTCGGTTGTGGTGTGCTGTGAGCCGGGTGTGTCCACCTTTAAATAGTGGATGTCGATGAGGCCAAGCGTCCTAGTGTGTGAATGCACGGGCACCGGAGTTGGTTTCTTGGCCGACGAGCCTATTTGATGTCGGTAGAGAAGCAATGAGAATCGAATGTGCATGGTAGATATCCATCCCGTCCCATCCAGTAAACATCTATACGGCATTGAACAGGCATGAACACTGGGGACGTGGCGCGGGTAGCACCCTTGGCAAGTGAGCCACTTGAATGTCGGCGCCGGCGAGAGGTCATGTCCTCTCTGGGCTGGCGTCAATGCGGAGCGGCTGCTATAGAGCGGCATGAATGCGGGCAGCTATCTTCCGGAGGGAAGGGCGCGGGCGAGGGATGGTTTTTGGGTGGGCCAATGCAGTCAGAAGCGGGCATGGAGATGGTCCGGACGTCCGCAAACCCTCCTCCCCCCAAAGTTTGTTTTCGGTTTGCGGGAAAAAGCACGTCCAGACCTATCGCTAAAACGATACAGGCCCGCACTTGATGGCAAAACACGTTCAGACCGCTCGGTCTGGAGGGTCAGCGTTGCAGATTCCCTAACAATGGGAAGGGATTATTGAAGATGAAAACCAATTGTCTGATGTATCCAAGATTGGTCTAGTTCAAAAGATCTTGGCGCTAACAATTCAAAAATATAAATTATTTCACAAACGAACTTATATTTGAAAAGATGTGAGTTGATTTAAATTGTCTAAGATGAAATAAAAGTGCATGAATTTGTTGGGGATGAAGAGAGAGAAGAGATGCTGCATGCATGCGTGAAAAAAGTACTACTGGTACTTATTCCCTGACATGCATGTTGGTGATGGACTAGACACTCAAATATACACAATAATATATCTGAGTGGGCCAGCTGCTGCACTAATCTTGACGAATCTTCTATATCTAAATAGGAGCACCCCACTAGCTGATTTTCCTGCCTCCTCATGAAGCCACGTCATCTGAATTGTTACAGCCGTTGATGTAGTATAGCACAGCAGTCCACGTCCGTCCGATCAAAAGTTGGCAAAATTACTGCGAGTTGCCACCGCTGAGTGGAAAATACCGATTCGTTCTTTCGCGTTGTCCCGCTCGCTCGCTGCATATCCCCTCTGGACTCGATTCGTTTTGGTTGGGCTGCACACGTCCTCCTCACCAAAATTGTTTGGACATTACAAAGCCCATTTGAAGCCCATAGGTAAAGTCCATTGTTCCCAGTCTCAAGAAAAGATCGTGCCACGACCATCCACACTCCCGGGCAGCCGCCGCCAGGAGCCCTTCCGGCAGGTCTGTGCCACGATCCACCCTTGCCTGGCCAGACGCTGCCGTCCCTTGTACTCTACCAGCAGCCACCATCACCCATGCTTGCCCCTAGCCAGCCGTCAGTGCTAACCCTTCCGCCGTCATCGTCGGCCGTCCCCGATGAGCCACCTATCCAGAGATGTGTGATCCAGTAGCCACCTCTGTGGATTCCGCCACCATAGCTGATGCCCCCCAGCACAACCGCCACGATGGTCGTTGCTCCCGGCCAGCCCGCCGCACCCAACACGACATTAACTCCATCAAATTCGTTCGTCTTCCCACAGCCACTTTTATGACGCACATGAAACGGCCTCGCACCACTCAATCGACGGAAACGGATGGATTCATGTGAAAAAGAAGAAACTGCTGGATTTATGACTCCCTCCTCATGAAGGGTAATCGACCTAGTGGCTCTCCCTTTTAAGCACTGGAGTTGATCCCTTCCCGTCACTCGCCTGCCCGGGTTCTCATCACAGTCTTCTCCTCGAGGCGTCCGCTGATTCCGCCCCGCTTGCTAGAGGTCTGGTTCTAAATTCTAGAACTGCATCATGTAATTTTCTTGCTTTGGTTGTGCTATTCGTATCTTGAAATTCCATGTCTTGGCTGATGCAAAGTTCATGGGACGCTCTTAAATTTTCATGTCTTGGTCAATGCAAAGGTTGATGCGATCTGGCTGTTGTACTGAAAGTCTGAAACAGAACAAAATTTTACTCATAATTTTTCCATTTTTTTGATATACCACCATGTCAGTTGATTTTCCCTGTATGTTTCATTGTTTCTATGATAAGTTGTCATTGGTTTCCTCCTATATCTATGGATTTAAAGTTTTGCTATTATATATAATATTTGTCTCACATGCAATTCAAGTGCTATATAGAGAGAGAGAGATCAGTAATCTCTTTGTTGAGCCAAGTTACACAGCTGAGAACAAATTAAAGATGCGGCTCATTCAAGCTGTAGACTAGCAGTTTGTTTTCATGTCGGGCGAACATTAGGAACTTTGTGAACCATAATTTGGGAGACAAAGAGGAATTTGGAAGACAAAAAGGAATTGATATTCCTATTGACATACCATCAGATATAACTACATACAAGAAATAGACATGTGAATGTTCTACTAGCCAGAAAGACTGTATATACATCTTGGAAACAATACACACTTGACAGGTCTACATGTCTCCTTGATTCAAGCTTTGTCTCTAACAATATGAATTATCCATGTGGTATATAGTTTACTGAAAATGTTAGATAAGTGAATTGATAAATTTTTTTAAAGATGTATAAAGCAGGGAAAAGAGATACAACCATAGATTTTGCAGGGGGGTAACTAGGCTTAACTCGCATGGCTCATAGATCTTTTTTTACCTTTCACAGACATATACACTCAACTTTATCAGTGTAACAATGAAATGTGACAATAGCAGTATTAAAGCAGAAAGATGTGTTAGGTACCTGATGCCATGTTCGCTAGCATGGGAAAAGAAAATAATTATTCAATGGAATCAGTCTCCTTAATTTTATTTGTCTGGTGTATTAAAACTTCTTAGGTACTAAGCTAATGATAGAATAGGAAGTACAAATGGACGACCGAAGCAACAGGTACTCCTACTGAAATTAGTTTGCTATATATTTTCATTCCACTGCTTTTTCTGACTAACAACGTGCTCCATCTTCTCAAGAACGCCACCTAATTATGGAAAAAATAATCTGCCATGTTCTACCGCCGTTTCAAGAAGAGAAGCTCAGAAGAAATACAAGGATGCAATTGCAAAGATGAAGGGCACAAAAGACCCGACGTTTATAACTTTCAAACATGTGTCCAAGCCTCAACACGTCGCTAACCAACTGTCTGGTTACCATCCATTATCATCTATGGGATCTATCGTGGAGTATGAAAAGAATGGGATACCATATATTCAGGTTGTAGTAACTCAAGAAGGCCCACCTATAAACAACATCAAATATATTGAGTAAGAATATGGTACATGCTATCATACGGCATATGGTTCATGCAATCATGCTACAAATAGCAGGCTTTATCCTCCAATACATCCCAGCAATAAATTTTAGTCATTGTATGTACGAGAAATCTATCAACTATTGACTGAAATTATTTTCTTCTTTGAGATGTTGATGTTACTTTGAAAATCCACGAGAAATTTCCGCAGCAACGCGCGGGGCATCATCTAGTATAAGTAGCGTTAATGCTCAAACTGCCTTTCTGTACTGCCGGTAAGGGGTGGAGAATGGTCGACAAACTGACTTTCTGCACTGCCGGCAAGGAGTGGAGAATGGTCGACCCACACTTGTACGGTGGCATAGTTGGAAGACGTTCCCATCGCAAAGTAATCGTCTTTAATGTGGATCTCTGAAGCTTGTTGAATGGGTATATCCCCCACGCCAAATACTGTAGCATGCAATTCCAACGTTACCATCATCTTAGAATCGAATGGAACTGCAACTATAGACCGAGCCAGTGGAAGAGTGGCTACTGCATCATGATGGACCTCCACTTTCTCCTCCCGTTCGCGGCTAAAGAGCACACTCTCAGCATCCATGCCCTCGAGGCGTGTGGTGATTTTACCATAGACCCGGGCAGGGTTTGCCGTTGTCGAACCGGGGATCTTGTTGCTGAACAGGATAACCTTGACTTGGGCCTCCACGGCATTAGTCAGCACCGCATAGGTGACCTCTATGTTGTGGTGGGGGGCCCTGGTGAAGTTGTGCGTCAAGACCTGGTTACACCGTGTGTATTCAGCATAGCCATCCCAGAACATGGCCGCACCAACATTCCTAGATTGGTCCCTGGATGGATCAGCTGTCGCAGTTGCACTGGTACTGGTATCAACTTGAAGGACGAAGCTTCCATCCGCCGAGATAGCTTTGTATGGTCCAGTGAGCACCAAAGCCTGCATCATGTGTATCATGCCAGCGGCAGGTAAATATATATAGGAGTAGATCAAACATTAGGTTAATCAATTCTAGCTACTAAGCTGACACAAGTAGCTAGTTATATATATCCATACATTGAGTTCCGATTGTGAGTCGTCCACGGAACTGGAGGCACCAGATCCATGCCCTTGGTTTTTCCTGTAGATGATCTGTCTCCGTTTCCCGTCAGAGACGGTGATGCTACTGACGAGATGGATGTTAGCACTCACGCGGAACACCTCCGCCAGCGTTTTGCCTCGCTGACCGTCCATGGACGTCGCTTGCTGTTGCTGCGCCTGCGCCTTGGGTTGGCTAGGCTTCTCAAACCACGACTGCTCTGTTTGCGGCTCTTGTTTGCTAGAGCCCGCAGCTGGCGTTTGCGACTGTTGGCCTTGGCTGCCGGCACCGCGTGGAGGAGCTGGCGCTGAGTTACGCAGCAGGTGAACGACAGCGAGTGCGGCTTCTCTATCATTGATCCCGATTTTCCTCAATTGGCTGTTGGATTTCCTCCAGCAGTCTAACAGCATGCCTGACATTCTCCCCCAGTTCCATATGAAGTCTACCTCCCCATCTACAATTCGATCGGACCACAGCCCCCAACCGTTGTGGACCGTGCGACGGTATGGAAACATACGTGCGGACTCACATACCATCACAATGAGGCACGCCAAGTACTCCCTGATGTCTTTTTCAAGTGGGAACTGTCCCAGACCATCGTAGATCGACAGCCTACGGACAGCGGCTTTAGCTAATTCCATGCCGAGTTCTAGCTCCCCCAATATTTTCCTCAGTTTCTTATGGTCTGAGCCACCACTCGCAGCTCCTTTTACAATCTGCTCTATAATTTTCTTAGCTTCTTTTTTATCTTCTACATTTTCAATTGCGCTGGCAAGCTGCTCTTCACCTATAGGGTTATAGTCTAATACTAAGTCCCTGTACCCTACCCCGCACTGCAAAAACGAGGCACCATCGATCATATGCCCACTCACCCTCTCTAGGCACTCGAAACCAAACTCGTACCAGCGTCCACTCTTGTTCATAAAACCAATGAGGTACACTGTATCATCACGGACCTTTAAAGTTATGTTGCTACTCTCCACTGTAAGATTAATATGCAGCCACCTTGGTGGCTGAATAGGTCGTTGTTGCTTGGGGAGCAAAGGATGCTCCCTGTGCCAAGTCAAAGGATCTGCGTCGAGTTTCGCGGCTTGCTCTGGGTTGTTGGCTAGCTTCTCACACAGTTCGTTAATGAATGCAACATAATCACCATCCAGGTTAAAATCCACATTCGCTATTTCAGCCTCTCCCATCCACCCTGTACAGGCCATGCGGAACTTCATGAACAATCGATACATGTTGTGATTAATTACTATCAAAACGGACATAAGAACTACTATATGTATGCATTTAAGGGGCGTGTGTTTGTACTCATTTATGACATATATACTTATACTACCTTAAATATGTTTAGAACGCAGACACAAGAATACTACCTTCAATTTTAGGACAACATGGTTTGAGAGATAGCATATACCATCCATCCCCATCCAAAATTGTAGATGCAGAACAACTTCTAGATTTGTTTTGACAGGCACGTGTGTTACATGATAGGAAACTGATACCATTCAATTAATATAAAGCAGAACATTCAGGTGAAATATTCCTGTTACAAATATATGTATATGATTTGTCTAATTGTTATCAAAATTTAACTTGATGGCTTTTAATCTCACATTGGAATCTTTGTCCAATTTTGGTAAATTGATGAAATTACACCCTCCAGTCCATATTAAGTGTAGTTGATTTAGTACAAAGTGATACTACTAAATCAAAGACAAATGATATAGATCGGCGAGAGTAGTTTTTTCTTAGTTATATGGTGTAAAGCAAGTGATACCACTGGAATTGCCTCTAAAGTATTGTTATAGATTATTAAGTAATAATTAATATGTTTTTTCATATAATTTTATATATTTGGATGAACAATTGGTAAAAGTTAGTCTTTAAATTTTTATAGCATTTGTTGACGGTGTAAATACTCCTGTTGCAGATTTACATGAAATGTATGAGTAAAATACATCAGTAACGAATTGTATTCTTCAAATATATTTTTTGTAGATTACACTTTTATAGCTAATCGAGATCCGTTGACCTCATCAAATCTCAAGAGATTGTGATGGGGTGAATTATGAACCAGATAAAATGGAATGGAGATAATTCTTGCAGCTAAAGAATAACCACCGGCTGTTTCACTAAAGAAAGAAATTTGTAATATGGAAATAATAGCCATGGGAAAAGTGCACCTGTCACTGGCGCAGCAGGCGCGGCTACAGACGCTATGTGGAGTAAAGTTGGGGGTAGAGAACCGAACTGGATGGTGAATGAAGGGTCCTGCTCCATCTCAGCTTGTGCCTTTCTCTTTCTGCGGTTGGATATGTAAGACGGTTAAGTTTGACGACAGGCTAAATGGCTTTCTAGGCGTACTGCGCTCCACGACCTTCAAATGCTCAAGTATATATATACTGTCGACCGAAGGAAAGCCATGCAATTTGCAGAATATACATTTCACTGATCACCAACCAGAGTTGGCAAGAATAAGACGACTAAAGACCTATAAGGAACTTGATCTGCTGGACTCCGTCAAAGAGTTGGTAAAGAATGCTTACAGAATATTAGCATATATACGACTTATTGTCAAAGAAGCCGGGCAAACATTGTTGTAATAGACAATTGAAAAGTCATTGTGCTAAGGCCCTGTTTTTTACTAGTGGCATCAGAATAATAATCGTCGCTGATAAAGAGAAGCGTGGATCTGATTTTGCTAAGTCGTAATACCAAGAAAACATTACGTGAGCGCTTGGTATTGAAATATATTGCCCGCCTCCCTCCATCAATTCGGACTTTTGGATGAGTTTGCTGAAGCATGAATTCAATATGATATCAGAGCTAAGAGGTCTTGAGTTCAAGACAATGCCAACGCAGTTTTATGAAAACGATTATGCTACGTCGATACCATGTCTAAGGACTAAAATAGTCTAGACGTGAGGGGGAGTGTTGAAATATATTGTCCGCCTCCCTCCATCAATTCGGACTTTTGGATGAGTTGGCTGAAGCATGAACTCAATATAGTATCAGAGCTAAGAGGTCTTGAGTTCAAGACCACGCCAACGCAGTTTTATGAAAACGATTCTGCTGCCTACGTCGATCCCATGTCTAAGGACTAAAATAGTTGGATGAGTTGACTGAAGCATGAATTCAATAGTTGGGACCCACGAGCGAAGGAGCAACTTGCCGTATACTTTAGCCGCATTTGCCGTATGTATACGACGTGACGTCAAGGAAATTAATGAGGAAATAATTGAACCTTATTTTGCCGTATGTATGAGCTCCACCCCTAAGTCAAGTCGATATTAATTAAGATCTATATAAGTATTGTAAATGTATCCATCTGTACTTTTTAATTACATTTACGACTGGGCTTGATTGGACATTGGCGCGCGCTACTCGGTCAAGATGACATATACTGCATATTTTCTGTTTGCGGTTTGGCGTTTATATTTGGAGCAGTGACCGAAGAAACTTTTAATTTTCTAGTTCAAGTGGTGGAGCTGTGCAGCGCATGGGACATCCAAATCATTGAATTGTTCTTCCCGAGGGTCACGATTCCACCATGTGGGCCACTTGCCGACTAGTAGCTTTTATTTTGCAGCGCTGATCTGCCAACCACATATTAATCACAATTTGGTGAAGGAACGCATTATGAACAAGGATACTCTGAACAGTAAAATAAATAAAGTAGAAAAAATTCAAATAGTTCTGAAATTTTTGTGCCATAATTTAAGAAATGTTTGTTGTGCATACAGAATTTCATCATCAAATTACATTGGTGGAAGTCGTGGTAAAAAAGAAACAAAATCAGAGTTACAAAATGCGTTTGAATGTAACATTTTTAGAGTATCTTTTTTTTTTGCCATGCCTTCCACCAATGTCATTTCCTGATCAAATTTTACATGCACAACAAATATTTTTTAAAGTATGTCAAAAAAGAAATCAGAATTTTTTGAAATATTTTATATTTTATTTATTTTACTGTTCACACCTGGAGCATATGAGCTCAGGTGTAGAAATTCCACTTCCCTGTGTTGGCCACCAATAAGAGTAGTCCCAATCTTCGTTCCTTCAGTACTGAGCCAGCATTACCGCAAGACTAAGTAACAAATTTGGTCCAAACATTAATAAATTGCTTACAGTGTTCACTTTCTTTACAGACAAACTAACTAATGTCATAGTGGGGAGTGTTATATACTAGTGTATGATAACACCTATAGTGCAGAGTATCATAGATTAGTATCATATGTAGTCTCATTTATTGCCATGCATGACACATAGTAGCATACATTAATTATGATACGATATCTATCTATGTTACTAACCCTGTCTCTCTTCTTTAATTGTCTGTCATATTAGCATGTTTACGAGTCCCAAGTGCATGATACCGCTTATGTTACCCCCACTATGGCCAGCCTAAGGCTACTCATAATGGGGAGTACCATATACTAGTATCATGCACATGATACTAGTGTATGATACTACCTTCATAGTGCATACATTAGCAGAAAATAGGGCATTACTACCAGTTCCAGAGGGCCTTTAATCCCGGTTCTGGAACCGGGACAAAACAGACGGGACTAATGCCCAAAACCTTTAGTCCCAGTTGGCTTACGAACCGGGACCAAAGGAGGTCCACGTGGCCGTTGTGGGGCGCCCACGTGTTACCAACCGGGACTAAAGGGTAGCCACGCGTCAGCAGCTGCCAGACGCTGGGGTTTTTTTTTGAAAGGGGGAGTTTATTGGGGGGTTTTGGATTGTTTAATTAGGGGTTTCATATTGTGTTAGCTATAGCTACTACATATAGAGAGAAATGACCTCTCTTTCTCCGTGCTTGGTCGACATTAGCTACTACATATAGAGAGAACTCGACGCTAGTAAGCAAGTGAAGGAACCATTAATTACATAAAATCATCATGAACATATACAGAGAGAAGTGACCTCTCTTTCTCCGAGATTGGTTGAACAACAAGTTTTCGTATTTCTATTTGACGCTACTACATTTATACAATATAACATCTCTTACGATCCCTGACATCATCTACCGAAAATCAGCTTCAATTTCCACATGGCATTCTCCGTCTTTATGTATGACGTGGTCAATAAAGAATCCCGCCAATTCCTCTTGAATTGCTCGTATGCGATCATGTAGTAGGAGTTCATCCCGCATCTCCCACATCTAATTTAAAGAAGGGGGTCAATAAATATATATGAATGAAACACAACACAATTGATGGTAATACAATAATATTGTGAATATGATTTACGTACTTCATATTGTTTCTCAGAGTAGCCCCGCTCAGAGGTCGAGTGGCGGATGAACTCGCAAACATAGTATCCACATAAATTATTCCCGCATTCCTGCCACAAGCACTTTACGAGAAATAGAGTTTAATCAAACTGATAATCAAGCATGATAAATGGTATTGATGAAACTAGAATCAATGAGAGATGCGCGGAACTAGCTAGTACTACTTACTTTGGGGTGTGTAAATCGCAGCTCCTTCTGCAGACCCGGAACCATTCCAGTGAACTTTTTCCAAACCCTGCCAGGCAAAGAAAATGATTACTTGATATCAGGAAATGAACAAAAGTTGCCGATATAGTGCGATAATGTTTGAACTTACTTCTGGAGCATTGCAGCCATGTCCGCATAGTCATGGGGATCTTTACATGTCAAGTCTAAGACAGTTACTACTCCCCTGTCAAACTTAATCTCTAGCAGAATAAAGTGGAATCTGCGCACGCATAACTCATCAATTACATTAATTAGTTAACCTCGAGTAAGCGAAACCAAATATGCACAAGACAGTAAGGCTCACTTGAAGTTGTAAGGAAAGAGTATTTTCCCTTTATTTTGATGTCGAAGGAACGATTGTGGCAAGTTTTCCTCAGTATCTTTGACTCTGTTTTAACCGATCATTCATTTACGGTATTTGGGATAATGAACCCAAGGTCATAGATTTGTCCCTTTTTTGCATTTGATGATCTTCAGTCTGCATAATATAGTGCGGATAATTATATATACATGCAATGAACGAGCTGAGCTATAGAGACTTAATTAGAGAAGTAATAATTATAGACAGTAGCAAGTCATGAGTTGTTTGTCGAGGGCTTCTTGATTAAATAACTGAAATAACTCCACAAATTCAATAGGCATCACCTCAACTCCAATGAGGTCGTGCTCCTCTTTAATCCTCAGCAACATACTCTCGGCCCCACTCTTCCTGTAGGTATCCATGTACCATTCATGCAATTTTTGCATCATCGTTGTTAGAGGAGGATGACCAGGTTTGATGAGAGGCTTCCCGTGCTCGTATATGAAGATCTATACTACCTCTAACGTTTCAAATTGTACATCATCGCTCAGGTAATCACCAAAATTGGTACCGGGCACTAGCCCCGGATGATTAGCGATGATATTGCTAGACACCTTGAGCTGGGGGGGGGGCACGATTGCTTCACCTGTTCGCCGAGCTAGGGACTTGTTTTCCCACTTCTTTGTTCTGCTAATATTGCATCACTGAAAGTACTTCCTGACCATCGCGCTTCATCATATGTCTTTGCAATACAGTGGTTATAGTTGGATTCCGGCGGAGGCAGTGGAGGTCGCTTAAGGGCATCCACAATGCGCTTCACTTTCACCGGATCTGGCGTTCCCTTCGGAGGTGGAGGTTTCCGTTCAATGGGCCTGCACTTTGGCTGCCATGATTTCATCTGTTTCAATAGGAGAATGGCTTGGCAATTTTTCATGCCCATGTTGAGGGGTGGAACACAACTACCCTCCTCCTTCTTTCCAGTGATTCCCCTAGCGCGATAAGGACTTGCATCTTGGAGACTTGGACTTCAGAAATTTTGGTAACTTTCCTCTTGTTTTGTCGAAGGATTACTTGCACTTCTTGAACTTTTCAGTGGACTTTCTCTTTACTTTTATATTTTTTTGAATATACTGCACTTCTCGTCATAGCTTCTTTGGTGTTTGCTAGGGAACCCACCTTCAGAACTCGGAAAGTAGTTGCACACCTTTGTGGACTAAGTAAACCCTCAAAGGCATATTTTGGCTATGGTATGGAACACCCTGGAGGTGTCAAGACGCTCTACACTGAAAGCAACTTCTGTTGACCAGGTAGGCTCTTCTTGCTCTTTTCCCTATAGTGCCCTTGTGAACTCAAAACATGGTAGGGAACATGAGGTGTAAAGAAATGAAGTCTCTAATCAAACTCCACCATATAAAACAACTTCTAATTAAGTGCACTCAAACTTGGTGACGTGCGCACATTACGACAGCAGCT